ACATCTTTCTTCAGGAGCTTCAGAGAAAATACCCATCTATGCATTTAAACAATGAACATGGCAGAGAGAAAATTAACTGCTATGAGATTTTTAACAGGTCAACCCAGTAAAGCTATATAACAGATCATGTGGTGTTTGAAGCTGTACCTTTAGAAGAGTAGCATACAGGGGGGAGGTCAAAGGGCACAGGGAAACCAGAGGAGGACGAGGAGACAGGAAATGGATCCTTGTGAACAGGGAAAGTCTTCATGTCCTGTATGGAGACAATCATCACATCTAATAATAAATCTATACATCATTTAGAATGCAGTGAGAATTGTTGTTGTCCAGCGTGTATAAATACTTCTTTCTATGCATAGGTGTGTATGGCAAATGCATTTTGTGTAACAAAATCACATTCACTGCAGTGTTATTTCTCCAGCATTCAGTCATATGAACACAGATCTACTGTTTGTCCGTGTGTTGCTCTTACAAAGGCGGAGGGCACATAGAGGACTCCCAGCTCGTACGACCGGACCATCACCTGAGTGTTTTTCTTCTCCAGTGCACCCCATGCTGCTTTGGACAGGTTGGCACTGAGGCACACACACACACACACACAAAGAAGGTTTAATGTTCCAGAACATCTGTTTTACAAGGAAAGGAATGTTTTGTCATGATATGATCATTTCAGATCAATTTCAGTGGTGTGGACGTTTTTCGGAACAGCACAATAAAACGGACTGTTGTTGGGAGCTGTTTTGTCGTCTAAGAAATTAAAATACAATAATTTATATATATGTGCAAATAAATACACAAATAATTCCACACTCACCTTGTGACAAGGAACCAGGCGAGCTGAGTGAAATCTGGTGACGCCCTCATGTAGGTCTTGATGTGTGGCATGGCATGACTTCTTCCTGTTGAGTTTGCCTTCCAGCGGCTACGTACACGTACACACACACACACACACACACAATATGTCACTGATCTGTTAAATTAAACTTGAAAAATGTAGTTCTATGGAAAGAGCTGCATTAACTCTCATCTCAACATTGTTTAACAGACATTTCCATACTAATAGTTACCCAGACAATAACAATGCTAATTCAAATCAATTCATTTCAATCTTCTGAAATGAAATCAGGCATACAAATCACCTCTCTACTGGTAGACCTGAACCTTACAACTACCTGATATTATACTTATTACAAGACTTTTGAAAAGCGACAGGCATGACTTTGCACATTTGATTTTCTTTTTTCAGGCTGTGTTCATTTAAATCTGCATTAAAGGAAGTTTTCATTGAAAAAAAAATCAAACAAAAAAACTTTAACAAGCTAAACCTTTTCATTTTATTTACAATATATATATTATTCAAATATAATACTTCATGGAATTACTTCCTTTTTTTGTATCAGCACTTATTAAATATTTTTAGGACATTCTAATAATACCACATTATTCTGATAACCGTGATATTTTTGGTCACTATAATAATGGCATGGTAATTTTCACACATTTTAATCAATTACAACAATGTTGATGTGTCACTCTTGTATCTCTTCAGCATCAATTATGCATTTAGCAACAAGTAAAGCACAGTTTTAACCGCTAATGTAGAGGCGACAGCATAAGAGAAAAAGACTTCCAATATATTATACTACTCATTGTGCCCTACCAGTGAACGCTTACAGCAGGAATGAATTTGATGAGCAGTAATAACGAACTTACTGAAAGTACGAGTGGAGCCAGAGCTGTTTCTGAGCTGTTTGGATGCTGTAGGGAAGAGAGCCTCCCGCTGGAGGGAAAAAAGTACAGTCACCAAATAATAACAATTAATTAATTAATTTAAACTGCATTTTCTAGAGGTAATTTCTAGTAAAATTAATACAATACCCATTTATGAGCAAAATATAAATGTAAAAAAAATGCTATTATTACCTGGA